TAAGTAAGTACAGACACAACCTAATTATCAGAGGCGGTGCATTAAGCAATCACCTTTAATTTGCAATTAAACTTTCTTATTTTCTTATCGAAAAATTAAAATTAAGAGCAAGTAAACTCCAGCTAAGTTCGTCTTCATCCGTCTCATAATGATTATAGTAAAGGTTAATTACTTATTATTATTTTAATATCACATCTTTGTGAAGTTTATTGATATTTTTTTAGGTTTCCTTTTCTTGATATGAGAAAGAAATACATGGTTCCAAAATATAGGAATTCAACTAGTGACCACCTGAATAACTTTTTATGCTAATTAACATTTTTATTACATCCAAAAAAAATGTGAATATTTATTATTGGAGTTAATATCGTTATGCTAAAACAATACTAGAACAACTTAAATAATGTGGATTTTGACTATTTTGAGTTATGCAGATCATTATGATCTATAAAAACGTTTGCCTGGTGCTACAGTCAGGTATAAAAACATTCATTTATTTAAACACAGTTGCAATATACATTTTATTTAGTTTTTAAGTTAAAACCTATTAGGACATCCTAAAATGACTTTTTTCGTTTGATGTGAGATTAATAATTATTCTACATTTTTGTTGGTGAAATAGGATATATTAAGATGTCTTACTGTTTTCTCTGATTATCTAAAAAGTTAGAACAATATACAAAGACTGTTATAACAAAAAAGAGATATACCTTTACTTAAACACACAATTAGTCAGTTCAATTGTACGATAATTTAAAGCAGAAATCCAGAAAACTTTAAAAATGTGTTTAAATGTGTTTTTACTATAACAAGGACATAATTATTAAAAAAACTTGGCACATTAACATTGACGATAGGTTTTTATAATATATATTATACAAATCACAACGAACTACACAAAATGACATTATTAATAATTTAACAATAAAAAAGTTAAGTACAATGATGACATTAAAAGTTGAGTTTCTCGAAATAATTTTTTTAAATTGTCTCAGTACCTACCTAGTATTTTTCTAGCACAATGATATTATATAAATGTGCATTGTGTGATATCTTATATTTTAGGAATAAAATGATATATTTTTTTGCAGGTTCCTGTTAACAACGATTCCAAGAACTTTTGAAAATATTATTAAAACGGCCTTTGCAAATATAATTCTCAATTAAGAGCTTTTGATCTAACATTAAATTTTTATTCTCCATAAGGTTACAGCTTCCTAAGAAGAAAGTTTAACAAGAATACCAGACCCAAAATATCAAAATGTTACCAACCAATTGATGGTTCTACTGGTTTTCATAGGAAAATTCTCCTCGAAACTACTAAAAGAAAAGTGGCAGAGGCAACCGAAGAAGGCAAAAAAGTCTTTTGCGAAACAAAAACTAGAAATTTGTTTAAGAATCTAATTATTGTTTGAAGTTTTACCATTACTAATTTTTGATAACGATTATGAAGTTCTATTATGTATTTTACTCTTTGATAACCTATGTTTAAATTTTTATTAGGACCAACATAAATTATAATTTTCATTTCAACTACAAAAACCCTCATAATATTAAAAAGGGGAAAAACGTTAGATTAGTTATGTTCAGGAATAAACTCTTTAAACATTTATCTACTTAAAATGTGTTACTTTTAGAAGGTATGTTATTAACTTTCTATTTGTACTTGTATTAATTTATTTCATTTTATTATCTGTTGTATTTTCAAATTGATTTTGATCTTACTCTTATCTATTTATATATTTTTTATATTAACATATGTTTTTTTCATTGAAACAAACGTTTATTAGCTTATTAAATATAATGAATTCATGTTGTTTTATTATATCCTTGTAGGAATGATTCCTTTTATTTCATTTTAAAAATGAACTTTGAAGATAAAGCCGAAACGGTGAGAGAACAAAAAATTAGACGAAAGTGACGATATTTACTGGAGCTTTCATCTACACGCTCCTTTTTCTAGCCATCTACACCTGAGCCAGCAAGATTCGTCTTCCCTCCATCCTTACATTCTCCAGTTTTACAGAGGAAACGCCGTCCTCTTTAACATATCCAGACCTTCTTTGACGGGGACTATACTACTACATTATCAGCTTTATTTGTTATCCCGAGCAATTTAAATGCATTCGTAATTGCTCATTCTCACCTCTTCTCTTGTTGATTCCGTACTCAGTTTTCTTATTTTTAGTTACGTTTGCATTACTCTTTTATTTTCACAGCTTTAATTCTATAATACTGAAACGCTACAATATGGATCCATTTTTGTGGTTTATACTATTTAATCTTATTCGTAAGTGACCAACCTATTATAATAATTAAAGATTATTGTATTAAAGTCCTGAAGATGTTCCTGTAAGGCCGAAACTAGTCGCTCCTGTATTTATTTATAAAATTGATTTTAAGGTTTTATTCTTCAATTGAAAAAATTATATCTTTACAGTGATTTTGTTTCATTTCCTGCATTAGACACATATAAGACGGTATTCATTTTAAAAATAGTAAAATTATCAAATTTTTTTAGTTTTTTCTTACAATTAAAACGTTTGGACAATGTGTGTTTTTATAGTAAATGATACGCCACTGAACAAGAAGGATGTTTACCTTCCCCCTTGTGCCCGCTTCCTCACTTCCTCTGCAGATGTTGCTAACACAACAATCGCCTACAAACTCGTTTTCACGCTCCCTCTATTAGTAATTGCTCGGAGGTTTCATCGGTAAGTATTTTTAGGTTAAGATATGTTGTTTTCATTTGAACAAGTGGAGTAGGGCTTGTACAAGATTTAATATAATTTCTTATAGAATTTAAATTATATAGGATCACAAAGTAAATTGTTTGAAAAATGATTATCCAATCTAATTTTTCAGACAATTTACTGCATTGTATCAAAAACTTGTGTAGTCTAAAACAGTATTAAAACAGTTTTTAAAGTGATATTCCTTTTATAAATTAGTAAATTTTTCTTATACCAATAAATAATTATTGAATAGTGGCAAAGAAAATTTAACGTAAAATGTAGAATACCTTAAAAATGATTTACCTATTGAGCATCAATACATATTTTTTATTACTCTATTTAGGTTTCCGCAAGATCCTGAGAAAAGAAAACTTTGGTTTTCTCTAATAGGAATCCTTGAAAATCAGCCCCTTCGTAAAAACCCAGAGTTGTGTTTAGAACACTGATTTCCTGAAAATGTTTTGGTACGTGCAAATGGTACTAGATATATTAGAAAAGATGCAAACTCCAGACGGTGTGAGGGCTTTCTATTTTTGGATGACTTATCCAACAGGTAAAATACAAAATATTAATTTTTTGTTTACCTCTAAACATTATTTATTACCTATATGTATGTATATCTAATGTATGGATTTTTAGTTCTGATTCAACTGTTTTTGAAACACCACCTGCTGCAAAAAGAAACGTTGCAGTAAGTTATAACATTAATAACTAAGCATAAAAAAATTAAATGAAATTTTAGTTAATAAAATTAAAGTATTTTATATATTTAAAACATTATTTTAAAAATTTTTACAGTTTTTTACGATATTTTTTGCCATACCATGTTTTTTGTAATTGTTAATAAAAAAATTATATATTTTTAGGACAGTGTTTTATTTAGATACCCCTACCTACTTAATGTTAATTTAAAATTTTAAATAATTTTGGTTAACATCATACCAGGCAAATATATAGTAAATGCCAATATACTATAAACCAATAAATATTAAAAATCGAAAGGTAACTTGAATTCGCCTGTATTTGAATTTACTTGTACTTAAATTTACCTACATGAAAAATCAGCAAGTATCATGCAAAACTATTGTCATATACTCTGAAGGCAATTCTCTCACCAGAAATCAAATCACGTTTAGAAGACCTGACAGTGCTAAGTAGTAAAAATAAGGTGACCTTAACCTGGGTTCCAGGCCATGAGGGATATCAGGGCAACGAAAAGGCCGACGAATTAGCCCGAGGAGGCTCAGATAAGGCCATGACAGGTCCCGGACCCTTCTGAGGAGTTGCTAAGGCATTGTGCATGGCATCCATTAAACAATGGATGCAAACAGAGTCTCAGAAATGGTGGAACAACTATCCAAGACTGAGACAGGTCAAACACTTCTTCAAGGAACCATCGGCCAAGTTCACGAAAGACCTACTGGATCAAAAGCGTCAAATCGTTAGAATAACAGTAGGCCCTCTAACTGGACACTGTCGCCTCAAAAGGCACATGAGTGTCATAAATCCAGCAGAAGAAGCAACTTTGTGTAGGTTCTGTGAAGAAGAAGAGAAAACAATATTCCACGTCATGGGCCAATGTGAATGCCTGGCTGGAACGAGGTTTCTAACATTGGGCGAAGAAAAGCCAATTGCATGCAACTACATGCGGGAGTCACTGTCAAAGCTACTAAGACTAATAAAAAAGAACAGGCTAGACGACATACTCTAAAACAAACAGGAGTCCCACAATAGATCTGAAAAGGTCGCGGTGGACAAGGACAAATAACGTCCAACTCATAATCTAATCTAATCTACCTACATGAAAAAATCATCATAATTATATTACTAAAAAAATATGCCTACATATTTACGTATTTTTTTAACATACTACTCTGGCAATACTGGTAAGTTTAAAACTATACGCCACTGGAAAGCATATTATGGACACTATTTACAACGTTGCCAGCCGATCATAAGAGATCTGCCTTTCTCTCTTCCACTCACTAACAATTTTAAAACAATAACAGTCCGCAATTGTATGGGATTTATGAATGAAACATTTTGTCTATATGTTGTAATGTCTTTGAGCCACATTAATATTGTGTCGTTTGTTTTCCTGCATGTGCAAGCCTCATTTTCTCTTCAATCCAGCACAAGCAAAGCAGAACCGTGTGTTTTATCTTGTCAACACGATATAGAGTTAAATCTTAGTGAGAAAAGCACGACATTTTCTGTATTACTAACATTAAAACCAATTGAAATAGCTTAAAAAATAATACACACCTCATTTCGCCGACCAATTCTTGGTACAGACTTTGAAGCTTTTAAGAAGAACTTTTCAAAATCGGTATTATCCTTATTGCTTCTTCCAATTCTAGGAACACTCTTCGCTGCAGTCAAAAAAACGTTGGGTTGTTCCTCAAAACAATGAATGAGGCTAAAAATACAAATACTGAGAAGTAGTAACGTGCGGTAGAACATCGTTGATACTATATTTTTGAAAAACGTGAAAAGCGGTTTTATAATAAATAATTTAAGTAATTAGTATTCACATTAAGTTTTGGGAGATTGTACTGTAAATTGGATTTAATTGATATGATGGTAGTTTGTTTTACACTGCTCAACCAAATTTTTATTAGAACATATAATTTGTATCGTGTAACGTAGCATTTTTTTTATACATTTAATTCATTATTATTTAACTACTCCTTGAGTTTTATTTAGACTTAATTCAGATTTTTTTTGTATTTGAGAATGTACGAGGTAAGCGCCAATAATTCCCGGCCTGACATAGTTGCAGATATTTTATCAGGATAAAAGTTTAACATTTTATAACTACAAACCTTAGTAGGCTGTGATAACAAAATAAGCAAATTACGTCAAATAGTTTTTAATTGTCAGCATTTTGAACTAAAGTATCACCGAAAATGTCTCAGGTGACAAAAATTGAGTACAGAGCGGTTATTAAATTTTTAACAAAAGAAGGGCTTACACCTAAAATTATTAAAGAAAGACTCGATGGCATATATGGCCAAAGTTCCCCTTCCTATTCGGTACTGAAGGAATGGGCAAAACGTTTTCGCATGGGTCAGGAATCCCTTGAAGATGACGAAAGACCTGGACGGCCATGGAGGTGATAACGGAGGACAAAGTGGCCCTTGTGGAAAACCTGGTGCTCAGTGACCGACGTTTGAAGGTCAAGGAAACGGCAGAAATGACCAAGCTTTCTGATGCCACTATTCGCCGAATTCTCCATGATCATTTGGGTATGTATAAGGTTAGTGCAAGATGGGTGCCCAAACACCTTTCGGCGATTCAGATGCAACGTCGTGTCGAGTGTGCTCGATCGTTTTTGGAACTGTGTGGAGATGATCCGAACCCCGTGTTGGAAACAATAGTCACTGGAGATGAAACTATGGTTCTTTATTATGATCCTCTGTCGAAAAGGAAATCAATGGAGTGGCGCCGTAAGGGTGAAGCCCACCCACGAAAATTTAAATTTAGAGTCTGTCAACTACCACCGTTAATGGCACATATTATGCCGCATTACCTCATAAGTAGCGAAAATGTATTCGGGAAAAACGTCGAGGAAAATTAACCAGAGGCGTGCGGTTGTTGCACGACAATGCGCCCGTTCATACTGCTGGCATTACACAAGCTGCTATTCTAGATTGCGGGTTTCAAAATATAGATCACCCTCCTTATAGTCCAGATATGGCTCCCAGCGATTATTGTTTGTTTAGTTATTTGAAAAAGGACCTTCGCGGGCGACGTTTTAGGGACGATTTTGAGTTACAAGAAGCTGTTTTGGTCCATTTTGAGGATAAACCGAAAGAATATTTTTTTAAAGGGATTTAATTGTTAATTAAACGTTGTAAGAAGTGCATTGAGGTTAAAGGAGATTACATTGAAAAATAATAAAAACTTGTTGTTGTACTTTGCCTCCTTAATTGGCAGGCCGGGAATTATTGGCGCTTACCTCGTATCTATGGAGAATACTAATTAAGTAAAGCTTCCTAAAGCTTAAAACTTACAATGTCTATTATGGATTTTAAACCAATTCTATTTTATTTTTAAAAATTCAGTGTCGCCCTTAAAACCTTAAAATTGGTTTTTTTTTGTTGGTATTTTTACAAGGCAGCTAGAGAAAAAATGAGTTGACATAGATTTCAAAAAACTTACGGAACTCTTGTACATGCCGCGTTGTCTTTCTTTTTCTTTTCTTATTTGGTTGTTTGATGTCTAGCACTTTTGTAAACGAATTTTTTGAATTTGTGTAGGTATTAAGCTATTGCATAGCTTTTATCGCGGGCTTTGAGTGGCGACCAAATCAACGTAACGAAAAAATCCTAACACCCCCACTCCGGCCGGCACAGCGGTACGGCGCTATAGCCATGGAAGGTTTTATCCGACCTTATTCGTATTACGAGTAGAGGGAAAGCCCACTTACGCGACATGTCGCGTGCGACCTGCTGCATGTGATTTTTTAGGTGCGATTTTTAACAGACGACAAGCAGCGACACAGACGTTCAGTATCAAAATAGAGGTGGAAAAAGTAACAACGGTGTTGTTTTATTCTGTTCGTCGGCGGAAAAAATTCAAACGACGTGGTTACTGGGTTCATCCATTATTTATAGACCCTAATGTAAAAGGCGCATTTAATTTATTATATAAGGATTTACATCAACACGAAGTTAAGTTCTTTAAACACTGTAGAATAAGAGTAGTGTCATTTGACGAACTGCTAGCGCAGATTCCCGAACAAATATTTTTGTCGCTATTTTATTTCTCTTGAATATCGGATATACATTCATCTATATCAATACAACTGTCGAACATTTTTTTACTGGAACTGTCGAAAAGTTAACAAGAAACTCTAACTCTCAACTGACGTTTCGCACGCGACTTGACGTTTGTATAAGCGATGCTCCATATGTATCCACGATAACGCTGGCCGCTTGTCATTTCTAATTTACAGCCGCGTGCGACCATGCGACAGAACCGCGCTAATGGGCTTTGAGTAATTTAAAAACATCTAAAGTATTGCCGCGCACGATGCCTCGCGATCAGTCGCGCGCGACGTGTCGCATGAGTGGGCTTTCCCTCTTAGTATGAAGCGGAGTTAAATATACGTCTGCGGACTAAAACATTTATGCAATACAAGAACTAGAATGTATTAGATACCAGAGAAAGCTCTGGCTTCTAATAAATTGGAATCACAAATGTTCCCGGCTGGCGTAAATATTAAATATTAATTTTTAAGCCATTGCATAGTTTTTATCACGGGCTTTGGGCGCGGCGATCAAATCAAGAAATTCCGCAAAAATAAACCATTGTCTGCATTGTCTAACGTCGTTTCAGTTCGGCAGACTTCGGCACGGTGTTTGTGTGCGTGCGACTAGACGTATGCGTGTAGACTAGCTGCTAACTGCTCATAACTAATTCGATCTCTTTTAGACCCAATGCTAGGTGAGACAGCGTGCTTTTGGCCGCGTCCACGAGTTAGTTCGAGCCCACTGGAGTAGTACAGTATATTTTTTCTACGAATGTTTTACAATACGTTTTGCCAATGTCCAAGTAAAAACTACAAAGAGTTAGCATTAGTTAGAAAAATCGAAAAATCGAAAAATCGAAAAATCGAAAAATCGAAAAATCGAAAAATCGAAAAATCGAAAAATCGAAAAATCGAAAAATCGAAAAATCGAAAAATCGAAAAATCGAAAAATCGAAAAATCGAAAAATCGAAAAATCGAAAAATCGAAAAATCGAAAAATCGAAAAATCGAAAAATCGAAAAATCGAAAAATCGAAAAATCGAAAAATCGAAAAATCGAAAAATCGAAAAATCGAAAAATCGAAAAATCGAAAAATCGAAAAATCGAAAAATCGAAAAATCGAAAAATCGAAAAATCGAAAAATCGAAAAATCGAAAAATCGAAAAATCGAAAAATCGAAAAATCGAAAAATCGAAAAATCGAAAAATCGAAAAATCGAAAAATCGAAAAATCGAAAAATCGAAAAATCGAAAAATCGAAAAATCGAAAAATCGAAAAATCGAAAAATCGAAAAATCGAAAAATCGAAAAATCGAAAAATCGAAAAATCGAAAAATCGAAAAATCGAAAAATCGAAAAATCGAAAAATCGAAAAATCGAAAAATCGAAAAATCGAAAAATCGAAAAATCGAAAAATCGAAAAATCGAAAAATCGAAAAATCGAAAAATCGAAAAATCGAAAAATCGAAAAATCGAAAAATCGAAAAATCGAAAAATCGAAAAATCGAAAAATCGAAAAATCGAAAAATCGAAAAATCGAAAAATCGAAAAATCGAAAAATCGAAAAATCGAAAAATCGAAAAATCGAAAAATCGAAAAATCGAAAAATCGAAAAATCGAAAAATCGAAAAATCGAAAAATCGAAAAATCGAAAAATCAAAAAATCGAAAAATCGAAAAATCGAAAAATCGAAAAATCGAAAAATCGAAAAATCGAAAAATCGAAAAATCGAAAAATCGAAAAATCGAAAAATCGAAAAATCGAAAAATCGAAAAATCGAAAAATCGAAAAATCGAAAAATCGAAAAATCGAAAAATCGAAAAATCGAAAAATCGAAAAATCGAAAAATCGAAAAATCGAAAAATCGAAAAATCGAAAAATCGAAAAATCGAAAAATCGAAAAATCGAAAAATCGAAAAATCGAAAAATCGAAAAATCGAAAATTCGAAAACTCGAAAACTCGAAAAATCGAAAAATCGAAAAATCGAAAAATCGAAAAATCGAAAAATCGAAAAATCGAAAAATCGAAAAATCGAAAAATCGAAAAATCGAAAAATCGAAAAATCGAAAAATCGAAAAATCGAAAAATCGAAAAATCGAAAAATCGAAAAATCGAAAAATCGAAAAATCGAAAAATCGAAAAATCGAAAAATCGAAAAATCGAAAAATCGAAAAATCAAAAAATCAAAAAATCGAAAAATCGAAAAATCGAAAAATCGAAAAATCGAAAAATCGAAAAATCGAAAAAAAAATCGAAAAATCGAAAAATCGAAAAATCGAAAAATCGAAAAATCGAAAAATCGAAAAATCGAAAAATCGAAAAATCGAAAAATCGAAAAATCGAAAAATCGAAAAATCGAAAAATCGAAAAATCGAAAAATCGAAAAATCGAAAAATCGAAAAATCGAAAAATCGAAAAATCGAAAAATCGAAAAATCGAAAAATCGAAAAATCGAAAAATCGAAAAATCGAAAAATCGAAAAATCGAAAAATCGAAAAATCGAAAAATCGAAAAATCGAAAAATCGAAAAATCGAAAAATCGAAAAATCGAAAAATCGAAAAATCGAAAAATCGAAAAATCGAAAAATCGAAAAATCGAAAAATCGAAAAATCGAAAAATCGAAAAATCGAAAAATCGAAAAATCGAAAAATCGAAAAATCGAAAAATCGAAAAATCGAAAAATCGAAAAATCGAAAAATCGAAAAA